GGCTATCAGCCCTACACGGATGTGAAGCTATGTTCTGGTTTTAAATCTATTTCTGCATTTCTAGAATGCATAATTTGTCAGCTGAAGCACGTCAGTTTTTATATCTTTACATCATCTCTATGCAGAGGATCCAGGACATAAATAGTGTTTCATTCTGTTTCTGTGTATCTTTGGCAGATAATATGCAAATGAATGAATGAATTTTGGGGTTGCTTTCTTGTAATGTGTTGGAATGATTTAAAAATAATCTGAGATGCTTTCAGTTGGCCGTTTCTGGTCGATGCTGTGCAATAGCTCAGGCCTACCTGTTGGCGGCGATGTAGCCCATGAACAGGATGCTGGCGTACATGTTGAGGTAAAAGGCGGAGGCGCCGAAGTTGCAGTAGACCTGCCGGATGAGGGCGGAGTTGGTGGAGAAGTTCATGATGCGCAGCGGGAGGCAGAGGCTGATGAGGAAGTCGGAGGCCGCCAGGTTCTTCAGGAAGACGGTGACGCTGCTGGACGCCTGGCGCTGCGACACGCAGAAATAAACCCGCAGCGTGAATCCGTTCAGGACCAAACCCACCTGAGGACGACAGGAACCGAGTCACACTGCAGCGTCGACAGCGAACCATGAAGCTGCAACCAAACACTCACCAGAAAAATAAGACTGTAGATCACCATGAAGGAGGTGTTGGCCGATTTGTGAACTGGTTCACATTCGGTGGAGTTGCTGTTATTCGTCGCCTCTGGACCGGCTCCTTCAAAGTGACTCATTTTCAGACAACGGCAGCTGTTCTTAAATAAAGTGAAGGTAGAATAAATGCTTTTAGCTCCAACAAGGTGAATAAAAGCTCAGCATGCTGTAGCTCACATTATTCTGGTTCCGTGGTGTCATGTAGCTGATTTAGCTAACCGTATTTTAGGCTACCGTTTTTAGCCGAGTGTGGTTTAGTTATCAGTTTTATTGTCGGCTAATTTAATTCAGCTTAAATTTCCATGTGCTAGCTAAACTTGACTTATTTTAGCTCATATTAGCTTGTCTTTGCTATGTTTAGTTTCAGGTAGCTAGCTTATGTTTACCTTATTTCATCTTAGCTTTGTCTACCTTTTCCTCAGCCTTCCCTTATTTATCTTAGATCGCCTTTGCTTTGCTTAATCTATATTAAAATTAATTTAATTCTTCACTCTTGAGAATTACACCTTGTCTCTCAGCTTTACTTGATGAAAAAAGCTTTAGCTCATATTTTGTCTCAGTTTACCTGAACACATGATCTCTGTTGGTTTATTTTAGCCAACCTCAGCTCATAGCCATCACTTAGCTTAGCATATTTAACATGACTTAAATTAATTATGTTTCGCCTGATTTCTTTTGATTTAACTGTTCTTAACCTTTTCCAAGACTTTAGTTTAGTTAGTTTAATTGTTCTTAGCTTTTTAAAGCTTAGCTTGGTGTATTATAACTTAGGTTAGCACATCTAAGTTAAATTGACTTAAATTAATTATGTTTCGCCTGATTTCTTTTGATTTAACTGTTCTTAACCTTTTCAAAGACTTTAGTTTAGTTAGTTTAATTGTTCTTAGCTTTTTAAAGCTTAGCTTGGTGTATTATAACTTAGGTTAGCACATCTAAGTTAAATTGACTTAAATTAATTATGTTTCGCCTGATTTCTTTTGATTTAACTGTTCTTAACCTTTTCAAAGACTTTAGTTTAGTTAGTTTAATTATTCTTA